GGCTGAATCAGGACGCCTGGGGCAGAGCAGCTGGGGTGCTGGTGGATTGGTCCAGTAGCGCCGAGGAGCGGCGCTACTGGAGCAACCCAGCAGCACCCTAGCTGCTCTGCCCCAGGTGTCCCCAAGTCAGCTGCTGCTGAAACTGACCAGCACTGACTACAGGAAGCCCGGGGCTTCCTGGAATCAGCCGCTGATCAGTTTCAACAGGCTGAATCTGGATGCCAGTTCCGACTTACATACAGATTCAACTTAAGAACAAACCTACAGTCCCTATCTTGTACGTAACCTGGGGACTGCCTGTATAGACATATATTGCAAAAACAATCAAGCTAAAAGTCTGTGGGGTTGCTTTTGCTGGAGTGTTAACTTAAGTTGTAACTCAGGAGTTGATTTTTCCATTATGTAATACACACTCTCTCTGTTATATAGGCAATAACCAAGTTAGTGCATTATGAGTAGCTCAAATGTTTCATAGAGGAGCCCCTGTCACTTTAGTGAGACTAACTCGAGAGGTACAGTGAAGCATATGGCAATAATAGATAAAACTTGTGACCTTGGTTTCAGTTCAAGTCTTTCACAGGACTTGAGTTTAATACTCAATCTGGACAGTCCAGAGGGTATTACTTGCAAATTAGGATCATTTGCAACTATCTAAGAAATCTACTACGGGTTTTCTGAGTTTAGGGAATAACACCACATTCTGGACAACATTTGCTCTTTTCCAAATGGAAGAGCAAGCTGCTGCAGAAGTCTGGCTGCTGTTTCAGCTTGCCTGTTTAAAAAAACAAACAAATTTGAGACTGTTTAGAAAAGCCAGTTTCAGTAGACAGACTTAAAGTCTCATGAAGAATTGGTTACCTTTTTATGGTATTTATGGCTTTTGCGAAGCCAGAATATTAGAAAATAGAACAAATCTCCTTGGGATGACTGTGGGTAAATCTTGGTTTCCATTTAATGGCCATAAATAAGTTGCATTTCAAAGAATTTTGACTTATTGTGTAGTTTTCTGTAATAAAGTGGTTGAGAAATTTATAAACAACAGGGCCTATATACAGCACTTGTCAGCCTGTTGAAAGGTTCAGCTTTGTAAACACTCACCCAGTAATCCTGGCCTATGAAATAATTCCCATTTTTACAAATGTGAAAAAGAAGCACACCAAGGGACTGCTTATGGTTGAGGAGGCCAAGATGAAGACCTTGTCTTCATATACTTCCCAATATCTTTCATTTTCCATGTAGGAAATTATTTTACTTTCTTCTGATCCCTCTGAGTGACAGAAATCTCTATCTTTTCCTGCTTAATAGGGCTCAGACCATCATGAAGGCTCGTTTGAAAGGGGCTCAGACGGGTCGCAACCTCTTAAAGAAAAAATCTGATGCTCTGACTCTTCGATTCCGGCAAATATTAAAGAAAATCATTGAGGTTGGTGAATTCAGTTTCTACTATGTCTGTCAAGCTCTGTTAGGAAGTTATGTGTTCTGTAAACCATGCATTTCCATAATGCAGTGATTGAGATCACTTTTCTGTAGGTTAGAATTTGGTTTAGCTTTGCTGGTCACCTGCAGTCTGTTAAACAACACTGAAGTGATTTGACTTTCCTAGGTGGGCAGGCTGAACAAAGGCCTAAGACTGTTTAGGAGTTTAACCACCCCCCTTCATCACTCTCCAATCAGCCATGTACCCTGTTAAACAATAAGACTGATTTTAACCTGCTTCCTTCACTCTGTCTGGCTTGGGAAAAATGGTATACATCGGTATCAGTTGTATAGTTAAACTGTTAAGTGGAGACAGCAAACTCTATTCAGCAAGTGTGTGGGTGTTTTTTTTGTTTTTGTTTTTTGAAAGGACATGGTGTCAATGTGTTTGTGTGCATATATCCATATGATTTAAACCAAGATTTAGGCATGGCCAGGTGAAATGATGCTGGATATGGATTGTGTTTGTCTACTCTAACTGAACTGGGTACAGCATTGCATTAGCCACAGCTGCTTCTAATACACAGGGTTAGCACTGTTTCCATTTCATAGTGTAGATAAGGCCTTAGAGGTGTGTCAGATTTCCTACAGAGGCTATGTCTACACTACAGGGATTTATCGGAAAAAGGTATGCAAATTGTGCTCTGCAATTTGCATACCTTTTTCCGATAGTTTTTGTGGAAGAGGCTTTTCCAAAATTTGGCCCATCTAAACTGGGCCAAATTTCAGAAAAGCCGCCTCTTTTGGAAGAGCCCTTTTTCCTCGTGGAAGGAGGAAGACAGGGCTTCCGAAAGAGCACGTCTGCTCTTCTGCTAAAAAAAAAGCAGAAGAGCAGACACATTCTCTGGATGCGGAAAACCTCCGTAGTGTAGACCTAGCTAGACTCAGTAAGGCAGCAGTACACTGATTTATACTCACATTCTTGGCTTCAGTAGTTTCTTTGAAACTAGAAATGCTTAATTTTTTTTCCCCTGTGCTGTGAAGATTTGAAAAAATCATTTCCCAGCAGTTCAGGTAAACCACTGTAAGAAACAGTTGGAGCCCTCTTGTGCTGTATCCATTTCTACAATCATGTTAAATCCTGGGATTCTCAGTTGACAATCATATGGTGGCTTTACAGGGGTATACAATAAGCAGCCTTAACATTGTATATCCATCTTAAAGATACAAAGTCACATTTATTTTTTTTGTATGCTGCCCCCTGATGTGTGTAACCCACCTCGGGACACAGGAGTCGTCTTCTTTTGTCTTTAGGTACAGCAAGTAGCTGCTAACAACTAATGTTCCACTCTGAGAAGACTGTTTCAGCTTTTGGTGGAATGAGGTGGGTTTTTTTTGTTTTTTTGTTTTAACCTTGCACCTCTGTTCTCTTTACAGACTAAGATGTTAATGGGTGAGGTGATGAGAGAAGCTGCCTTCTCGCTTGCAGAGGCAAAGTTCACAGCTGGAGATTTCAGGTGAGGACCACTGACTTGTACGGTACTGTTGCATTGAGAATCCCCAGCTTTCCTTTTCTAGGAAGAGAGCAGGCTGTTGGTTCCTGTTTTAGAAAAGGAGTGAAAGAAAAAAGTGGTGTAGTATGTGCAGAGAGAGGCAGCCTCGTGATAAATTGGATACCATCAAACAAGGATGGGAGCAGAAGGTGTTGAAGGGAGAAACAGTTTGTGCTGGGAAAATGTACACGGCTTTGAAGTCAAACAAGTACATCAGATGGTAGAAGCAACTTTCAGATCAGTGTAAGTGTAAATGTGAATCCTCAGGTGAGCCAGTGGTTGCTTCTGCATTGTGGAATTTAAAGTGTAGAGAAAGGGGAAAGCATAACAGAAGGCTGGACTAGTTTTCCATCTTGCTCTATATTGCTTGAGCTATTGAGGCAGATTCTCTTCCTCAGTGTTTTCATCACTTTCTCTTAGTAACTACCAGGGAGGTCTACCATGCCAAAGACATGAAGTCCTATGCTGATGGCAGTCTAGGAAAACACTTCTCCCTTCTGTACGAGTGCAACTCTAAATAGGGTTAATGAGGGTAGTGCATATGTCAAAGAACAATTACATTATTAGGACAACATAAGGAGAAATCTTATGAATTTAGAGGATCGTGTGATGAGCATCATTTTTATAGGAATAAATTATAATCCCAGATTGTTGTTGATGTAGATTTTGAAACATCTGGGATTAAGTGTATACACAACAGGGATTTGCTCTGTAATCTTTCATATGAATTTGACAGCCATATCATAGGCTGTGACTTTTAGAAAACTTTACAAAACCAGACACAGCGAGGTATAGTCACTAAGTGGAGAAAGGACAGCCCCACTGTCAATGTAATAGGTAATTTCTGCTCTAAATTAATGTCAAATGCCCAGGCACATTATGGATACTGTGCTGCAGAGGAACTTTTTTTGGATAAGGTGTAAAATGGAGGTCCTATTTCCCTTCAGTCCTTTAAAAGTCCTGTGATATTTACATATAGAGATGTTTGGTTGTGGGCCCTACAGACTCTGTTTTGGATAATTTTAGTCTGCCTCCCTAAAGTCTTTATGTAATTTTATTTGGATGCCATACTCATTGCTCCCTGTTGTAATGTTGAGTTTAAGTAGCAATGATGTTCCCTCATTGCATTTTAATTTAGAAACTGATTAAAGTGATTCCTTGTATGTGGATTGTAATTGACTGTGGGATACTACAGATTGGGGCTGTAGACACATCAGCTGTTAATGAGTTGAATTGGAAGAGTAGAATTACTCCTTTCCTAGCAGAATCCATGGGTTTTTAATTTCCTATCCAGGTACAGTCCAACAAAATCCAACTTAATGCTGGAACCTGAGCCCAGCTTTCAGGCATTGATTTTAGGCTGGAAAGAGCTTTGATGGGCCAGGTGTGCAATGTGTATTCTAGATCCTGAGCCTCTGCATTTACGAATAGATGTAGTTTCTGTGCTTAGTTTCATAGTTCATGTATGAGCTTTTGATTTCTGTGTAAAAGCTTGTTTCATTCAGCTGCTGATGTGGGTGAGCTAGTCTTCAGAAAACTCCGTGCCAGAGCTGGAGACTTTTTCCATGAATCCTTGGAGTAGCGTGAGTGCTGCTTAACCCTTGCTCACAATGATCAATTCGCGATTTGATTTTACCCAGTTAAGGTACATTTTCTTCTCTTCAGTACCACTGTGATCCAGAATGTGAACAGAGCTCAAGTCAAGATCAGAGCCAAGAAAGACAACGTAGCAGGTGACTATCTCCCCGCCTTAGCAAAGTATAAGTATGTCATAGACCCATTTATGTTTCCTAGAAAATGCACAATGGTTAATAAACAGAATGTGTCTCTTCTGCATTTCTTTTCTCCTTACCTCCTTTTATTACCAGGGATATTTGCATGTTGAAATAAGAACTTTGTGGGCTACAAATTCCTCTAGTCTCTCTTTGTACCAATTAGACATTTTGCAGAAATGGGGAAAAATGGCCTCAGATTAAGTGACTTAGTCCACTTTTTTGCAGGTGTTGGTATGGTTTTCCACTGCAGCCTATTCAGAACTTTGTCTAGTCCAGTTATAATGCTTGAGGCAATGGCACTTCCACTATTTTTTTCAGGATATTGCCACCGTGTTCTAGTAGATACCACTGTGCGAAAGCTTTTTAGTATATGCAGCTCTTTACTTCATTTCATCCCTTTATTCCTAACTATGTAACTCAGGCTAAACTGAACAATTCCTTTCGCATACTTCTGCAAATACATTCACTTCAGACATTACTTAACTCAACTACATGTATTATGTAGGAGGTTCTGATGTTTCCTCTTTTCTCAAGGCATTCAATTTTTGCTTATTTTGTATGCTTCCTCTAACTTATAAACATATTCTTAGTATATCTCTGGTATAAATAACACAAAACCTCTTTTGTTATGTAATATACTTCTGTATTTGACCCCTAAAAATCTCTCCTTTGCTGCTGTATCCCACCATAAACCTAACAGCCATACTGGGTCAGACCAATGATCTGTATAGATCACTATCCTGTCGCTTGCCAGGGACCACTGCCAGATGTCTCAGAGAAAGAACAGAACAGGGCAATTTCAAATGATCCATTCTCTGTCATTCTAACCCAGACTTTTGGCATTTGGAGGTTGAGGGACACCCAATATGGGATTGTGTCCTTAACTATCTTGGTTAATTGATCCACCAGTTGCTTTCTTCCATAAACTTATTGAATTTGTCTTTAAACCAACGTATTATTTTTGGGCTTCATAGTATTCCATGGCAATGAATTCCATGGGTTGACAATGTGAAGAAGTACTTTCTTTTTGTTGGTTTTTAAACCTACTGCTTATTAAGCTCCTTGGGTGACCCCTGTTTCTTATGTTACCGGTAGGGATGCGAATGTGTATTACACATAGCCCTCTTTTTCCTCCCCCCTGGGCATTACTTTCTTTGTATCAGAGGCAGCAGCATGAGGGGAGGGGTAGGCGGGAGCCAGTACTCACAGGAGATGGCTTAAAAGCCAGCTCCCCGTGAGCACCAGCTCCTGCTTGCCCTCCCTCCCTGACCCACGTGTAACTGCTGAAATTCAGTGGTTACATGTGTACAAAAATAAACTCACTTTAAGTAAATAACACTTCCCTATTCATGAATTTGTATTTTATCATTCCTAAGTCTCTTTAAGCATCACTGTTTCCAGATGTCTCACCACATCCTCATTTATACTGTGTGTGCACTTGCACCACTTCACAACAACCAGCTGCATCCAAATGCAGAATTCTGCCTTCAGAAAGAGAAGAAACGTCTATAAATTCAGTCCTTCATCTTGTGTAAATTGAGTGAGAGTACAGAAACTGTTTGTTCAACTTCTGGCAATCAGAAAATTTATAACTATTGGGGAAGGGATGGTGTCCAAGACTCTTAAGATACATGGTTATGCTAAAAAATTCCATGCAAAGTGCTAACAAACAACCTTATTTACACTGAGAGATTGCCACTCAGAATCAGGAAACATAAAAGTTGAATGCTCGCTTTTTATCCACATAATAACCAGATCATGTTAAACTGAAGCTACATACTTGAATTTCTAATGCAGTTTCTATAACTTGTCTTTTTTGAAGACACGTTGTACAGTTGTGTGCTATCGATACTGCTTATCATAATCTCACTCTTACCTTGTGCACCTATGTTGTGTCGACTTGTTTCATTTATACCTTGTATTGTCAGCTCTTTGGGTCAGAGAATTTTATGTTTAGTGCATAACACAATGGGGCTCCAATCCATGTCTATGGGTTCTGAAGGCTACTGTGAGAGAAATAAAAAAATCATCATACAGGTTGTACCTTCTTGGTCTGGCACAGTCAGAAAAAGTGCTAGAATTGAAGTTGAAATGCACTACCTATAACGTGTTCTGACTTGGTAAAAGATTATATAGTTTGAGTACCAAATACAATATTCATTTGATTCTTATGCAAACTTTTGTGTGCCTTTAACAGGTGTAACCTTACCAGTGTTTGAGCATTACCAAGAAGGAGGGGACAGTAAGTATAAAATGAATGCTGTATGTCTTCTAGTGCTTGTGGAAAAATACCTGGATATCCTGGAAACCCTTTATCAGCAAAACCTTGACAGCACAACTTATCATGCAAGCTTTCTCCATATTGCTGTGCCAACGCCGACCTAGAGGGGTTGCCTTCAGGGCTGTGTAGCTTTGGCTGTTACTAAATCTTTGGCCTGTGTGCTGAAATTGCTAATAGGTCACTCCTGATGTGCAGACAGACATCTGTCTGCAAGCAACTGCGGGGAGTTGCAGATTTTGTAGACCACTGAGCAGGCACCCAACAGTAATGATGGTCAGCAACCACTGTTTTCTAGGTTAGTACTGCTGACAGAGAGGTGAAGGGTTGAGCATTCCATTAGCAGTCTCATAAGCATCCCTGGTACTTGTTGAGAGGCTTCATTCTTGCTAATGCCTCTCCTGTTTGATGCGTTCTCAGGTTATGAGTTGACTGGCTTAGCTAGAGGTGGGGAGCAGCTGGCAAAACTGAAGAGGAACTATGCCAAAGCAGTGGAGCTGCTTGTAGAACTGGCCTCGCTCCAGGTAGGTGGGAGTGGAAGATGAGCTAAAGGGCTTCTAGTTTCTCTCAACTGTTTAATAGACAATCCTGGTGGCTAAGGATGTACCTTTAATCCCTTCTCTGAGCTGTGTGGAGACCACATGCTGCAGCATTTCTATTGTACTGCAACCCCCCCCCCTTTTTTTAATGTCTCCACATCAGGGTCTTCAGCTTTTTTCCCCCCCATCCTACTTCACCCACACTTGCAAGCACAGATACTGAATGCATGTTAACCTCTTCTCTGGATCCTCATGGTCCCTTTCCTCCTGAAAATGAGAGAGAGATTGAAGAGCTGCTTTAGCATTCTCAAGTGTAGCTCTGCAAGGACCTTTTGGTGGCAACTTTTCTTGTATTTGTTTTGAATTCTTAAGATGCCTGGTTACTAAAACACCCTTCTCCAGGTTACTGACAGTGTTCCCTCTAATTTTTTATGTCCATGTGCAGAATGATTTTTGTTATGTTCACCAATAACAATGTGATGTATTGCACAATAGTATTCTGCACATGGACAGTGTGTGGTGGGGTTGGGCCAGACGATTGAGATGTCAGGTGTGGACTTGGGTGGGCCTGGGAATGAGCAGATTGCAGTGCACAATATCCCTGGGAGAGAGGACTAACCCTCACCCCCTCTCATGGCCACTGCAGCTCCAATGGGCACAGCTGGGGAATGTCAGGGATAGGCTTGGGGGGGGAGGGGAGGGAGTGGAAGAATGGAAGGGGCACCTGTCCCCTGGAAGGGGCAGCTCTGGGTTGGGTGCTGTGGCTGAGGGAGAGGTGTGCTCCACTAGCCCCAGCACAGAGCTCCATGTTGGGGCCAGCGGACAGAGGTGGTGGTCTCTGCAGCAGCCCTGAGCCCTGCACAGGGCTTGTTAGGCAGCTGGGCAGCTTAGAGGGATCTTGGGTTACTGGCATGTGTAGCCCTAGGTTAGTTATAGCAAGTATTTAGTCAGCAGTGTACAAACCAAATGTGCATGAGAGTGTACCTATTTGCACTAGGGCAGAATTTAGCCTTTAAAGCAAGCATGCATGGCTCCCTAAAGCCACCTACACTTGGTAAAAATACCAAGATCCACGTGCTTTATATTTAATTTACTTTGTCATAGACTTCGTTTGTGACGCTGGATGAAGCCATTAAGATAACGAACCGGCGTGTGAATGCTATTGAACATGGTGAGTCATTTGGAGCTTTTCCACTCTTAACGCTTACGTGATTTTGAAAGGAAGCTGACCTGTGTTCCATGGAGCACTTACTGGTACTATCTAGTCACACAATGCTCACTGTCCCCCTTTGTTTTCAAACATTACATTGCACTAAGATATGCACGTTACCGTGCCATGTAAGCAATGGATTGTGTTGTTGTAGGGATGTTAAGAGATTTTGAATGGGGTGGGAATGAGAGGTGGTCAGTCACAGATCTTAGAGAGATCTTTCCTGGCCGCCCACTGAGACTTATGTGGATGGAATTCAAGCCCCTGGGCTTTGGATCTCCTGGGGAATATTAAGATTCTACCCTGTGGGGTCCCTGGGCACATAGCTTGTTTAATGTTCCCCTACTGAATGTTCGAACCCTTTATCCAACTGCTTCACCCTGCTGGGCACAGTGCTGCCCCTTCAGACTCCCCCCTACTCAGACTCCCTCTCCCAGAATTGGGAAGCTTCTGCTTCACAGTGTAACCTTCTCCAGGGTATGCAACAGCTGTGGAGCAGTCAACACTCAATATGTTCTCTCTCTCCACTTTCTGCTCTTTGCATTTAATCATGTAAAGCACAGGAGAGTACAGATCACACAAAACAATACAACTTCCTAAACAGAATGTCATCACTAGCTCACCCTTTCTTTGGGAGATCCTCTGTGCTCAGTCTGTCAGCAGGCAGCATCTTTGACCCATTGCCTATCCTGCCGCTGCAGTCCTTCTTGTTACTCTGGTGCAAAATGTCTCCCTGCTCCCATTTTCTTCTGAGAGTCCCTTCACAGACTCTGCTTGTTCTGCCGTTTTGTAATTTTTTTTCTATTGCTGCCAACTGTTTTTCAGACAAAAAGGGGCCTTGTCTGGGCCTCACTGTTGAGCTACTTTGCTCTGTATAGTTCAAGTAGCTGATTTTTCATTAGCTGTTCAAAATTCATTTCTCCCTTCTAGTCCTTTTCTGAGCAACTTGAGGCTTTTTTCTCTTTGCTTTTCTATAGTATTTGTCTTCACTGCTGTGGCACTTTCAGCATTTCACACTGTTAGATCCCACACACATTGCCATCACGCATATCAAAGTTTCGGCAGTTTTTCTTCGAGAAGTGTCTCTGTGGGTGCTCCACTCTAGGTGTTTTTATGTTCCTGCACTTCTAATCGGAACTTTTTGGCAGCACTACTCCCCCCGGGTGTTGGCATGAATGTGCCGACACATGTGCATCGTCAACTGTCACTTTGGTTCCTTCTCAGCTGCTCCTGGTTCAGTTGGAACAGAGCAGAACATGATGCTTTAGATTGATAGTTGATATCATAGTATAGAGTTAAGTGCTTAGGTAGTTATTCAGTTCTCCCCTTGTTAGTTTAAATGTTTTTTTTCTTTGTTCTTGGTTAGATGTGCCAGGTTGACCAGGCTTTAAGAAATGCCTGACCTGCAGGATGTCTATCCTGATATCGGATGGACATGCCCAGTGCATTAGCTGTCTTGGCAAGGAGCACTCGCCCAAATCTTGTCACCACTGTGAAAAGCTCTCTACCAGGTTGCTTAAGGTGAGAGAGCTCCAACTGCATCTCCTATCTATGGAAAACCGAGAGACTCATGTCGAAACCGCTGTCCACTATGTCACTGCCCAGCACCTCTCCAGTGGTGGTGTCAGACCAAGGCATGGCACCAAGCGATGAACCCTCCAAAAAGATTGCAAAGAGGAAGCACTCTTCGCCTCCAGCCAATAGGCCCATGAACATCTCCACAGCGTTACCCCTTTTCATCTTAAGGTTTTAGCTTCAGAGGATGCGCAGTTACTGGGGAAGTCTTCCAAGGACAAATCCCCACAGGCAAGTTCATCTAAGGATGTATGCCCTGTGGTCTCTGTGTAAGCACAAGGCGACCTTGTCTGTGCTGTCGGTACTGACTAAACTGGTACCCGTCACACCTTCCCAACTCAGGGCAACAGGGCATCCAGAACCGACTGTCAGATCCTGTGAAATTGGTACTCTCTCGCGGTACCAGAAGTCCTCCGGCACCGCCGATGTCCAAAGGATGCGATGACAGTACTGCAGTGCACACAGCTTTTGAATTGTCGGTATTGATCTTCCTGCCACCAAGTCCACTGTCGACGCAGGAGGCTCCGTACCAGAGACACATCTCTTCAGTACCAACACAACACCATCAAAGGGTCCCAGCAGACTAGTCACTTGAGCTAGCATGGTACCGTGTTTTCCCAGCGATAGTGAGGATGAGAAAGACATACCATTTTCTCCACGCCATTCTTTGCTGAAGCTGGTGGCTCAGACCCAGCCACAGGCTATGTCTAGACTATATCCATCCCTCTGTTGGAGGAATGTAAATGAAGCACTTCAAAAGTGCAAATTAAGCTGGGATTTAAATATCCTGAGCTTTATTTGCATAATCACATAATGGTGCTCTTTCAAAAAAAGTGCTATTTTGAAACAAACCAGTCTAGACGCAGTTCTTTAGAAAACGGGGTGCTTTTTCGAAAGATCCTGTAAACCTCAGAAAACTGAGTCTCAGTATTATAGGACAAGGATCTGATGCTGTTGAATGAAAATATTAAGTTGGACATTGGAAAAAAGTTTACAGAAAAATAAACTCACTGATTTCACCAGTTAGTTCTTCACGTTTCAACCTCCAATGGCAGCTGGTGCAGCCTGAATCCATTGAATTATTGGTGCAAGCTATAAAATCCTGAGCCTTTAAGAGTAGTGTTTTGTGGGTTACTCTTAATGAAACCCTTCACTTCTTCCTGCCACACTATGGCAGGCATTCAGTATATGTATTCTTTCCTCACTGTACAGGCTGTTTGCGTGATTAACATGATAGTGGTTTTTTTTTCTTCTCTAGTGATTATTCCCAGGATTGAACGCACGTTGTCCTATATAATCACAGAACTGGATGAGAGAGAGCGAGAGGAGTTCTACAGGTAAGTGATCTAAATGGGAGGCTGCAGGTCCCGTTCCTTCTCACAAATTAACACTTTGGAGAAATCCATTTAATACTCCCATCACCACCATTTCTGTGTACTAGGCTGAGCTATTGACATTCTGCTTTCAGAAATTATCCAGGGCTGCGTGCAGGTCACTAGTGCCTACAAATGTGCCCAGGCCTTTTTAGGGAATTAGTGTCCTGTACATGGTGCTTGGTTCTGCTTTGAGGGCAGGACTGGACTTGACCTCTCAAGGTGTCTTCCAGTTCTGGTATTCTATGAACAGCATTTTACCCATGTGACATTCAGATTGACGGAAGCTGGCTCATACATCTGTTGTACCCTTATTTACGTGCATTAAGCGTTCTCCAGTAATGATACTTCTAAAAAGGCCTTGTGCTTGCTCTCAACTTCTTCTCCTTTATTTCTTC